GCCACGGCGAAAGCGATTCAGCCCACCAAAGTGCGCAGAGGGTTCCCTTTGCGGTCTCAAAAATCACATGCGCACCGCGCCACAGCAAGATCGATTCAACCCGCCCAAGCAGAGGGTTCACTTTGCGATCTCAAAATGCGTACCGTGCCACGGCGAGAGCGACTCGACCCGCCCAAAGTGCGCAGAGGGTTCACTTTGCAATCTCCAAATGCGCACCGCGCCACAGCGAGAGCGACTCGATCCAACGAAAGTGTCGCGCCTGCCACGAAATCTGCACGCAAGCTGGAAAGTGCTGCGCCTGCCACGAAATCTGCACGAAAAGCTCTAAAGTTCTGCGCCTGTCACGAAAAATCACGTTAGAGCGACATGCAAAACGCTCAAAATGCTGCGCCTGCCACGAAATCAGAATTTGACACACTGGCATCATGCTAAGAGCTACGATTCCCGCACAGGGGCACGAAAAATGACACGCTTCAAGTCATCTACACTGGAGCTGCGAGCGACACTCGCGAACACATACGGACGCTTGCGGAAATGGAAGTTACCCAAAGAACCCTCTTTTTTTTGCGCGTTGCGGCCCCCATTTTGAGGCAAACACAGTTCCCAGCCATCCAGCGCACCTTTTAACGGGGGGTGGGTATGAAGGGCTCAACCCCAACCTGGGATTCAGATCTTTCCTCCCATTTTGGAGCAGCCCTGGCGGAGGTGGATTTCTGGGCCAAGAATTGCGGAACTCGCACTACTCAAGTCACCATTGTGTTGCATTGTAAGACACACATATATATATATATATATATGTATAAAGATATACAATATGTATATCTATGTATATATATGTTCCAGGCCGTGGACCCCCCCCCCCTCCCCCCCCCCCCGTGCGGGTGGGGTGGGTGGGTGGTGGGGTGGTGGGGTGGGTGGGTGCTGGGGTGGTGGGGTGGTGGGGTCCCCCCGTGGGGGTGGGGTGGGTGGTGGTGGGGTGGTTGGGTGGTTGGGTGGTTGGGGTGTGGTTCGGAGTTGGTTTAGGCTTGGTGGGTTGGTTTAGGGTTGGTTCAGGGTTGGTTCAGGGTTGGTTTGCGGTGGGTTTCGGGTGGGTAGGAGGGGTTGTAGGGTGGTTTGGGTTAGGGTAGGATGTTGCGAGAGGTGCGGGGGTGTTGGCTCACCGGGGTGAGAGGGGGTCTGGAGGTACTGGACAGCATCCCCAGCATTGCCAGCATCATCCCCAAGATGCGGATGATGCGGGGGAGTGGGGGGACCATACCATTGGGGGGGGGGGGGGGGGTACGTGGCGCAGGGACTGGTACATATATATATATATAGATATATCGGTCTTGCAAGTGCCAAACCTCGAAACCTTGGACAAATACAGGGATATATTTTTGAGAAAAGACGGGCCGCAATCTAAACATGCTGTTCTTTCTTGGGAGTCGGAGCAAAAGCTGACGTAGAAAGCGCAAGATGTGGGCACTTGCAAATGGTTGTGGTTTGCGACCTGAATTTGGGTTGGAGATCTTTCTGTTCGCCCAGACCAGATGCGTTACCAATGGGTTTGCCTTTCCAGTCAAAATCACCATCGAGCTGTAAGAGGGTCCCTGAAATGGACACTTAGCCATGGAAAGGCTGCCATCGATGCGAGCGCGGCAATTCCTGCAACCCTGGAGTCTGCAACGTGTTTTTGTTTTCGCGCGTGCAGACCACATGGGGCAAGTGAAGTGGACGCAGGCTGTTTGTCATAGGCGTGAAACGCCCTTTTCCTGGTTCACTTTATGTTGTTGCGCCGGGCTTTGTCTGGCCAAATCCATTCCTGAGACAGCAAGACCTGGTAGAACAAACACCACCGTTTCGTCCGATTTCGATGGAGTTTGGCTTTGTTTCAAAGGCTTTTCGGAAAATGTGCTACTTTATGACCAGGTCTCCCTGCATCGGAGCCGCGGGGCTTAGATCACAAAACGCAAAAGCGCGAAGCCTGCATGAACCCAACCCTTTAAACCAACCCCAAAGGCGGATCCATGGAAGCAGCTTCCCATGGAAGCCAGAAGGTGTCTCTTGCCATTGGTTGGGAGTTCCCCAAGAAAGATACCATAGGTTGGCCGAGTTTAATGAGTTCCAACAATGGATCACTACCACAAAAGGAAGTCAACATTGTGGGGGGTCCCCTACAACAGACAGACCCAAATATAATCATGAACCCTTCTTCCCCGAATCTAACAATCAATCCTTCTCAATAAAGTGGGTGTAGAGTTTGTGGAGTTAGGTGGTATCAGTTGGTGTAGAATTGGATAATATAGCTCCGTTTGATTTAGTACATGTGGAGCTTCCCTTTGAGATAGGATTGGAATGTCCATTGATGTCAGTTGATTTTTTGTATAGTTGCGTTTTGGTGACCATTTGGTGTATGTTTGTCGCTTCGACTTGTCATTGGATCGATTTGTTGATCGGGTATTGCTAGGGGATTGGCAGGTTTGCTTAGAGGGGACAGGGGTGTATCCCTGAGAAAGGGCCTTGCATGTTTGCGGTAGCTTGTTGATCGCAGGGAAACAAGGGCCAGTTGCGTCATGTTCGTGCAAGGGAAAGAGTGCCGGATGTTCCCAATTTTCAAGCCAGAGACCAGATACACACTTTGTGAAGCCGAGGCCCATTCAATCTAGACTCTACTCGACCATAGTATGTAATCCCTTGCCGTTTCCTTGTTTCGGGTGATGTGTTTCTAAGCATAGTTGGGGTGTAAGCCAACCAATCAAGTCGCGCGGCCATTCCTTGGGTTCTTTACGAGAGCAAGGTTTGTTTCAGAGTCATGGCCGTATGAACAGCATGACATATGAATTTGTGTCTTTGGGTATGACCTCAGGAAAAAACAGAAGGAAACGCATAGCACTACCATAGCTTCCTGAAGATTGGTCAACTCATCCGGGTCCGGGCGACTCGCGACTTGCGACTTGCAACGTGCGACTTCAGGCGCGCTCATAAATTTCAAGGTTGCAGCTCATGTGCAAAAAAAGCCCTGTCTTTCCATGCGGGTATCATCTCTGTTGGCCGAGTCATGTCTTCCATTGCTGTTCCAGTTTCGGAGAACTTTTGTTTGGCCGAGTCTCACTTCTGGGCAGCTTGAGCGCACAACTTCGTTGGTCCTATTGCCCTCTCATCCTGCGGAGCTGGAGGAGATGGCGAAGGGGCAAGATGACCACCATCCCTGGTGTTGCGTTTCCTATGGCGACCGGAAGCTTCTGAGGCTGTTCCAAACCCGCCTGGGCGGGAGGCCCAGGGCTGACTACTTCGAGAATCCTAATCATCCTAATCTGTCGTTTTCGGGAAGATGAAACATGACCTGTGGCCCAGTTTCGGAGTTTGGGTTCAATTTCGGGGGTTTCTTTTGGAAGGAGTTATGTTTGAAGCGGACATGTGCAACCCGATGACTTCCGCGCGCAACTGGCAGCAGCAGGAAAAGTGTGAGCCTGGCCGTTTGTCCATGCGGGCAAACCGACGGGCTCGACTATGGCTTCTTGTTCTTGTTTCAAAAGTGGGGGGGTTAGACTTTCGCTGACGAGCTGACCACATGGGTTTGTTTCTTGCAGAAACCGGGTGAGCCATGCAGCACAAGGAGAAGGTGTGGTTTGGATTGTCACCGTGTCGTTCTTTGATATTTCCTGGGTTTTTGGTCTCTGGCTTGTTTGGCTTGTTTGGCTTCATGGCTTTTCGTCTTCTTAGTTGTTCTTGCGTCTAGTTGTATCTTGCCTTTGTAGCTCTTCGCATTCCTGTGTTCTGGCTTGTCGGGTTGTTTGCCCCATTAAACAGTGGAATTTGGGGGATGTGTGTGGCTTCTGTGGCTTGTGGCATTCAGTTCCTAGCTGTCCTAGCACCAGCAGCATTTTGAGGGCAGTTGTTCGGCTGGCAGGCTTTTGTAATGCGACGCCCAGCTGTTGGCGTCCTTATGCTATGATGGTTTGTTGCAAGCCCAAGCGCACCCGAGCCCCCAAACCAACCCTAAGCCACACCCAAACACACCCTAATGCTATAACCCCACCCTAAACGCTCCTCAAACCAATGCTCACCATACACACACCTGAAGTACACGCTTAACTCCACCCTACACCTAGAACCATCCTAAACCAACACTAAACCCTAAACCCACCCTCACCCAGGCACCATTCGACGCGGAAGCCTAAAAAATATCACCCTATCGTTTGAATACACCTTGTATGGTCAAGTTTGGTGTGTCGACTTCACCCTGCTTTTGGCTGAGGGAACAGGGAAACCAGGGCCCCATTTCAAGGCTCCATTCAGAGACAACTTCTGACGTCTGACTTATGACTTTCAGTTCAATAGGAATTCCCAAGAATATCGAGCCTCATTTCCTTCACTCTACAGTATAGAACTGCACTGATAAAAGCGAGTTTATCAAAGCAAAACAAGGATTCCACCCTGAAAATCCCTCGCTTTGGATTCCTTACTTCATGTTGGTGAACTATGGTGTCAATGTGCAGAAAAACGGGATACCCAGTAGATGTCTCCCCGGGCTGCCATTGTTTTCTTCTGCGTGCAACTTGTAAAACGGGCAGCCATGACCAAACGTGGCTGCGCGATTTCCAGTTTGGGATGCATGTCCGCTGCTCGCAACGGCCTGACCGCTGGAGGCTCCGAGGTCTGCGAAAGTGCGTAGCAAGTAGCCCACTCTCCTCGGACTGACCAGGCACATCTTGTTGTCCCTCAGCAAATCCTGAAAAGAGTTGCCAACGACACAATCAGAGCCCCAGCAAGCCGAATCAGATAGAAGAGCAGGTGTAGTGTCGCGGGCATGGCTGTTCCAAGGTGAACCTTGGTTTTGGGAGCTTTTGAGAGGAGGGCTGGTTCCTTTGGCCAAAAGAATCACAGGTTCTTACCTGCTGAGTTATGTCGGTTTGTTCTTTTTTTTCTCCCGAATTTCCTTAGGGTGGCGATTTCTACCCTACCCCGAAGAGACAGGAAATCCCAGAACAAGCAAGCCCCGGTGTTTTTGTTGGCTTAGCATGGAAGAGGCCGAGGCGCAGGGCTCGAGGGAGCTGCCTATCGGGTCAGTTGAAATGGTATCAATTTTTCGCCGTCAAAGTCGTGTGACGGCCTTTTCATGCCTGCACAAACTGCCATCTTTGCACCCAATAAGCATCGCAGAGATTCCACGTTGAATTTCCGCGATAAAAGTCGTGTGACGGCCTTTTCATGCCTGCGCCAGCTGCCATCTTTGCACCCAAAAACCATCGCAAAGATTCCACGTTGAATTTCCGCGATAAAAGTCGTGTGACGGCCTTTTCATGCCTGCAGCACAGTGCCGCCATCTTTGCGCCCAATAAGCATCGCAGAGATTCCACGTTGAATTTCCGCGATAAAAGTCGTGTGACGGCCTTTTCATGCCTGCAGCACAGTGCCGCCATCTTTGCACCCAATAAGCATCGCAGAGATTCCACGTTGAATTTCCGCGATAAAAGTCGTGTGCAGGCCTTTTCATGCCTGCACAAACTGCCATCTTTGCACCCAAAAAGCATCGCAGAGATTCCACGTTGAATTTCCGCGATAAAAGTCGTGTGACGGCCTTTTCATGCCTGCACAAACTGCCATTTTTGCACCCAAAAAGCATCGCAGAGAGTCCACGTTGAATTTCCGCGATAAAGGTCGTGTGACGGCCTTTTCACGCCTGCACAAACTGCCATCTTTGCACCCAATAAGCATCGCAGAGATTCCACGTTGAATTTCCGCGATAAAAGTCGTGTGACGGCCTTTTCATGCCTGCGCCAGCTGCCATCTTTGCACCCAAAAAGCATCGCAGAGATTCCACGTTGAATTTCCCGCGACAAAAGTCGTGTGACGGCCTTTTCATGCCTGCACAAACTGCCATTTTGCACCCAAAAAGCATCGCAGAGATTCCACGTTGAATTTCCGCGATAAAGTCGTGTGACGGCCTTTTCATGCCTGCACAAACTGCCATCTTTGCACCCAAAAGCATCGCAGAGATTCCACGTTGAATTTCCGCGATAAAAGTCGTGTGACGGCCTTTTCATGCCTGCACAAACTGCCATCTTTGCACCCAAAAAGCATCGCAGAGATTCCACGTTGAATTTCCGCGATAAAAGTCGTGTGACGGCCTTTTCATGCCTGCACAAACTGCCATCTTTGCACCCAAAAACCATCGCAAAGATTCCACGTTGAATTTCCGCGATAAAAGTCGTGTGACGGCCTTTTCATGCCTGCACCAGCTGCCATCTTTGCACCCAAAAAGCATCGCAGAGATTCCACGTTGAATTTCCGCGATAAAAGTCGTGTGACGGCCTTTTCATGCCTGCACAAACTGCCATCTTTGCACCCAAAATCCATCGCAGAGATTCCACGTTGAATTTCCGCGATAAAAGTCGTGTGACGGCCTTTTCATGCCTGCAGCACAGTGCCGCCATCTTTGCGCCCAAAAACCATCGCAGAGATTCCACGTTGAATTTCCGCGATGAAAGTCGTCTGACGGCCTTTTCATGCCTGCAGCACAGTGCCGCCATCTTTGCGCCCAAAACAACCATCGCATTCATTTGGTTTGTTGGTCTTTGAGCCGGGTGAAGGCTGTGCTGGTTGGTTGAACATGGAGTACCGATCGCCGGCGCTCAGCTGGCCCTTTTTTTAAGAGTGAAGCCGACAAGCTAGGTTGGGCTTTGGGGCTCCGCATTCACTTCTAGGGGCTATGAAACTAGGCTTGCACGGTCGCCTTGTACTCTTCCTTTTGTTCCGGAATTTCTCGCAACGGTCGTTATGTGCAAAGTTTTTCCGGCGGGTTATGTTGAGGGAAAGGCGTTCGTTTCGCGAACGCCGGGAAGAGATCCGGTTTTTCGCCAGATCTTCCGACAGCTGCGGGGCAACATCTTCCAGCCCCTGCTGCCCAAGCGCCTTGCCGGGTTGGTTCGCGCCGCGGCAGGGGGGGCCCAAACAGAGAGCTCCCCCTTTAGGGATAGAGACCCAGACACACCTTCGGGCTCAAGACCCCTAGGCCCCCAGTAGTGCCCTTTCTCACCCCTTTTGTGGGGGACCCTACTAAAATAGACTACAGAAAAGAGGGTACCCTTATTCTAACCTCTCTACGGAGGACCTAGGCTCCCTTTTGGTAGGGATAGAGACCCAGACACACCTTCGGGCTCAAGGACGCCCTCTTATTCAACCAAGGTTTTTAGTTTTTTCAGCATGAACTACCTGAGGACTTTGGCAATGATCAGGGTTCCTTTCATCGGTGTGTTCATGTGGATCCGTAGTTTGTAGTTTGAAAGAGAAGCTCATGTTGACCACAAGGATTTTGGGCTATTGGGATGGCCAAGATCCACATAAGGCGTGTCTATTACCCCGCCAAAAATGGGTGCACTGACTGGTCCAAGCCGAACCTGATGCAGGGCAGCTTTCTTACCTGCGCGCTGCCTGCCTCGGCCAGGCTCAAAAGAACAATAAGAACAAAGCTTGCTTGAGCAAATGACGACGTGGCTGGGCACAAGAAGAACCGAACCGGAGCTGGAGGTTCTGTTTGGGCTGTGGTGTGCGCAAAGCTAACGCCAGGAACTTGAGCTCGAGCGGGGGCCGTCTGGCCACAGTGGCTGGAATGTCAGAGGGTGGCTCGGAGCACTGGCAAGCGAAGCACGGAGCGGGGCTCGAGCCCTTGGGCGGATTTCCTGACAGGAAGCCAGTGGAGTATGGAGATGTTGCTTCAGACTTGTGATCGGCGCTTGCGGCCGCCGCAGCAAGACCGCCCGCCGACACAGCTTGTGACAGACAGCCGGAAGAGCTCCTGGTAGACAGATACGACAGAGAGATACGACCGGCAGCTGTGACACAGCTTCCGGTAGACAGCTGCGGCATAGTCTGACAGACAGACGTGGGCAGCAGTGGCACAGCTAGTGGAAGACAGCTGTGACAGAGCCTGACAGACAGATGCCGCAGTGACAGTCCAAAGCCTAAGGCTCACAGGGGGCCAGGCTCCCGCCGGTCGCCGGGCCAAAGAGGAGTGGGTCAGGACAGCCGCGAAGTGAGGGCAGTGGCTGGGGCAGGACAGGTCCAACTGCTGGGCTGGGAGAGCCGGGCCAGGACAGCTCTGACGCTCAAATGTCTGCTTCGGGTGAAGCTTGAGGCGCCCTCCTTGGCCAGGACAGGGGCTCGAGTCCAAGCACAGAGCAAGCAATAAATCACGCAGATCAACTCAAGGTTTCTGATGTGGCTTTTTGCAGAACTATCCAACTGTCTCTGAACCACCCATTTGGTGGGGGTATGAGGGATTCACGGGTTTTTCTTAACGCGGGCCATTTACCATTATTTAGCATTGATTTCTGGACATTTGACTGGGATTTCTTCCTATGTAACCGCGCTTGCTGTGTCCTCAAAAAAGCTGCCCTAACTCACACTCGTAGCTCGCAGAAGTTCAACTTATTTATTTTTTTGCACCGCCTGAGCTAGTGCAGCGGGCCGAAAGCTGGCGGGATTTGAAGTAGGCAAACGTGTTCCTTAGAACGCAGGTCTGTGAGCAATGGCTTTCAAGGAGCCATTCGGGCACGTAAATATTTTGGCAAGAGGAATTTCAAGTAAAATTGGCCTCAGGAAGGGGCCTGGAATGGCCTCTGGATTTTCGACCATAGGAGCTCCCCAGAATGTGAAGATAGTAACTACCTGGGTTTTGTGAGGGCGGCAAGGCCAGTTGGCAATAGCTGCCTTTTGGGTTACGTGCACCCAACCTTTATATACACTACACCCCATAGGCCGGTACACCCAGCGGGCAAACGGTTGTGGCGATTGTTGAAAGAATAGACCCCAAATAGGTTGCTTTCGCAAACAACCAGCAAGATCTTGGGGTCTCTCGTAGGTTCCAAACGATTTTGTTTCCTGGAGCACCCACAGTCCTTTAGGTTCCAAGAAGACCCCAAGCTGTGGCACTTGCGCGAGGAGGCGCGGAACGCAGCGACAGATCCGGTCTCATGAATGAGAGTCTCATGGTGACGGTCATGTGTCATGACTGTGTTGTCCAGGCCTCTTATTTAGCGCCCAGTGCAAGTTGGGAAGTCCCTTTGTCATGCAGGGGGCTGTGCTTTTGACCACCTGCGCAGCGGAAGGAAATGAAATCCCTTTTCCACAGAAAGGGGGACAAGCTGTTCATTTCGTACAGTTGGGAAGCCCCAGTCATTTGTTTTTGGTGTATTTCTCACATATTTCCTCAACAGCTGAAAGCTTTGGGGTCTCAGCCCAGATAGGCTCCGGGGTGGTCCGGGGCGGCCCTCAGGTAAGGTTCCACGAGGGTTCCACCAGGGTTCCACCAGGGTTCCGTGAGGGTTCCACGGGACTAAAAAGAGCACCGCATGCTGTTGGGGATATCACCAGAGCTTATTTTTTATATATACACAATATATATATATATATATACGTCAAAGCCCGCTGAACAGCACCATGGGGGGCGGGCAACAAAGCCTTCTTAGCAGCCCTTGGCCGGCCATCAAAGGCGAATGCAGGAGAGCTAGGCCCACCCTGCGAAAAGGGTTGGTTTTCTGACCTCGAAAAGAGGGTCCGCGGCTCCCTTTGAACAAATTGGGCAGTGTAGAATTGTTGTGTTTTTTTGCTACAGGTTGATGTGCTTTTGTGTTTGCAGTCACCGCTCCTTTTTTTGGGGGCTTGCGCATCTTCTGACAAACAGTCCATGAAAAGACAATGGGCAAGCAGCACTGGGATGTCAGGAAGCTCCGTACAACAGCGAGCAACACGCAGTAAATGCGCAATATGACGGGACAAGCATCTCTGGAAGAGGCCGCAGAATATGATGGCAGCTTCAGCCAGGTCGTGAGCTCCTGGATTTGTCCTGTTTCCCCGAGATGGAGCCTTGCTACTTTATTTGGGTCGTGGGCCTACTGTAATTGACAGAGGCAACGGTTGTATTGGCTAAAGGAACCATTGTTGGGACCTGAATACAAAGTTCTGACCTTGGCTTATCATTTCCCTTAGGGACCCTTTCTTTGCACCCAACCCAACATAGCTATCAACCATTCCATTTCAGTTGCCGTCAATGTTACACTATTCCTCGTATGAACCTCTAGTATGTTTCCCACACATAATTTTGGTTAATGTTGACCCCAGATGAATAAACCCCTGTTTATTAATATGGGTGTGTCCCCGGCTTCATTGGGGATATCATTTTTGGAGAGGAACACCCCCCAAGTTAATAAAAACAGGGGTTTATTAATCCGGGGTCAACATCATACCCATTTGGGTGTGGCTCAAAATTAAGCAGGAGGGGCAACCCCGCAGGTTTTAGTCCATGTTTCCACTTACCAGGGCAACCCATTTTGGGAGCGGTTTTTTGAGCCACAGCCATTTTGCAAAGAAAAAAAACAACAGGACGCGCCATGCAGTTGACCGCGTTCTCCCAAAAATCGTGGCCATCAGGCGGGCCACACGCCGCTGCATTGGGCCGCGCTGAAGGGGCACCTGGCTTCGAGAGGAGAACGGAGAAATCTAATGCCCAGCCAATCGCCATAGCTAAACCATCTTCATGCGTTTTTGGCACGAATTTTCATATTAAGGTTGAGGTAAAGGTGGTTTGTAATGGCGACCAAAGGGTCGCACCAAGCCCCAAAATGGCGACCAAAGCCTGAAGTCTCTCTAGCGGCTTGACGTGTGGCTTCCTCCAGTGCGGGTAGGTTTGGGATGCACCCGAAAAAGATTCACCAAAAGGTGCTCTGAGTTTCTTCTAGTTTTGTTCCTCGGAGAGGTTAGCTCCCACAGTGCCGTTAAGGCCGATGGCCTTTTCTCCCACGTGCGGTTCCTGTGAAGGCAACCGCCGCACCATGAAGGCTGGGGAACATGTTCGCCAGCTATTTTCTGGGCTTCATGTTTATTGAAAGCCGGCACGGCCGGGATCGTTGTGGGTTGCTTGTAGCGGCTCAGAAACCACTCTTTGGTGCTGTGGCATGCTTTGCCTGAGACGCATGAGGATTTCCAAGGCTCTGGGATCCAAGAAAAGAAAGGCAGTGGAGGTATCCTGACACCTGTTTGATCAAGGCGCAGTTGACGGAAGTCTTCCTTGGTGACATGAGAAAAAAGACTTCGTTTCATGAGGGGGGTTCGGCGGGAGTGCGGCAAAATTGCTGGGACCCAACCTCCAAATCGGTGCTCGAGGTCGGGGGATGTGCCCTTTACCACAGCCGCCTTGCAGCACCTGGAGGCAGACGAACCGGATTTTGGAGTCAAGACAGGTCCTAGCGGCATCTAACGTCCTGTTTTGATTTGTTTGTTTTCCGCAAAAAAGGTGCTTGATATTTCTGTCAAGAAATAAATCTTACAGAGCATCCTGGAGAGAACAAGCAGCAAGGCAGAGCAAAGCAAGCAAGGCAAAGCAAAGCAAGGCGCGAAGAAGGTCAGGCAACAAACATGAACAAGATGTTAGATGTTCCAGCAAAGATTGGTTTGTAAGCCCTGCTTGCCTTGCTTTCGTTTGTTTTGCCTTGCCTTCAACTTGCCTTTCTTGGGTTTATTTCATTGACAGCCGGCATTTGGATGTGTGGGTGCGAGATGCATGGTAGGGGAAAACTCGAATGTGAAACCAACATGGGTGAAAGTATGGCACAACTCCCTTATTTCGGTTCAGTCCACTTTACTTGCCCACAGAAAGGGAACTGCACCATCTACCGAAGGCTGCCCTAATTCGGTAATTTAATAGTGCCTTGCCTGGAAGCCTTCTTAGGAGACATTTCGCAACCCCTGTGAAGCTGCAAAAAGCTCCCCAAGCACACACCCCAGAACACAATTTGGGGAAGGACTAGACAAACTGGAGGCGTATGGTAGCCGTGGTAGCAGCTTCATGAACATGTCACATCTTTTATCATGTCGGTCTGACTAGGGAAATGGCTGGAGTGCCTGAGGTCGGGCGGTGCTTAGTTTGGTGACAACATCTGCCAAGGAGCCCACGTTTTCGGGGCGTGGATGAGGTGCCAATCCGTTTCTATGGCAGATTTCGCACTTTGCAGCGAGCCCTCCGGCGGCAAATCGAGGCACCAAGGTCCCGGACAAAGGGATTCCTGAGGCCGGATCTGCAAAATCCTGGCGGTGCATGCCAAGACGAAGGAATGCCCGCCGAGCCCTTTTGGGCCCTGCCTAAAGTCCCGGCCTGCAGGCCTCCGCTATACTCCGCTTGCTTGGAGGTCGAGTCAGGCGATGGATGTTGCATTCTGACCTTTAGCTGTGGGGGGTTTAGACTAGGAGCTCTCCGGCCGGAGGTCTTGCGGATGGCAATCTGCAATGATACTGTGGATGGACGAAATCCTTTTCGCATCACCTAACAAGCCGTGGAATGATGATTCCCCTGTAAATACCAACGCACACTGGTTTCCCATGGTTTCAATCTGGTGCAGGGTTTTGTCCATCCACAGTATCATGGAAAGGGGCCTTTTGTTTTTCACAGCCATGTTCCAAGGTTCATCAGTCCTTACCTGTTCCGTCCCTCGCAAACTACGCCCTCGGCTTCCCCCTCTTTGAAACTGACCTGGAACCCCCGAAATCTCATCCATGTAGAGGAATAAGCCTCCTTTTGGAGGAAGGACACCCTGTTTGAATCTATTCTGTCCTTTTGGCATCTGAACAAAGCCTCACCAAAAAGGGAGCCTCTATGTATGTGCAGGTGTGTATTTGTTGAAGGTGCCCTTGACTACAAGATCCTGTCTCATCGAGATCTCGAGGTGGACATCCGCGCGGACAACCTGCAGACGCCTTTGATGTGGGCCGTCACGCGCGGCAGACTGCAGGCTGGTTGACCAAGGGATGGCTGAAAGGACTGAATTAATTACTTATATGAAGAAAGTATTGAAATCATTTCACAAACCATAAACATCATATTTAAAGTTCAAGTTAAGATAAGAAACGGGTCCTTCCCTAATTCCCAGCTGAGACCAGCTAGTGTGTAGACTTCGGATTAAGTTGGAGGACAGCACTAATCAGAAGACCCCCTGTGAATTTGATCATTTCCTTACTGAAGGGGATCCACCCAAGATTAGTATGGTCCTGAGGCTTAAATCCGAATTTAACATTAAACCCATGGTGGTTGTTCATTGGAGGTGTCCATTGATGGGATCCAGATCACGTTTTGGGGTAACCGAAACAATATCTCAAGTACCACCGGGTCCCGCGGTTTCTTGCTATGTAGATGGGGTATCTTTAAAATACCCCTACCAGATGGACGAGAAAACGTCACCGTCGACGTCCATGCAGGTCGCCAAGCTTCTTATGGAGGCCAAGGCCGACCCTTACACCAAGGCGCCAATGCTGGTGCGGGGTGAGGGGCAGGGGCGTTTTGTGATGCCTCAAGGGCTTCGCTTCGCAACTTGGATTTGCTGATTCAGCACCACTCCAGGAAACTTTGCCTAGGTCCGCCAGTAGCACTCTTTTACCGTTTCTTTTTTGGGGGAGGGTTCCCCTACTAAAGTAGACTACAGAAAAAGAATCGGGTACCCTTATTCTAACCTCTCTACTGGAGGACCTAGTTGCGAACCACTTGTCTCTGCCGGGGGGGGATATGGGCTCACACTCTCCTTGCGAGCCAAGCAGCGAAGGTCAGAAAGTCAAGGAGCCCTATGGCACTTTGATATCAACGACCTAACTTTAGTGCATGTTGCTTGGATGTTAGGACTTTAACTTTTTGCCAACCAATGGGTTTTCCAGTAAACCATTAAAAGTCAAACTTGTAGCAGGGGAGCAGAAGGCTACCGAGCTAAGGTTGTTCCGTTCCCTTTGGGCAGTTCTCACTGTTGTGTTCCCACCCAAGCAATTTGGAAGGCGGTGTGTTTCTTGTCTCTGGAGGCTTCAACATCGGCAGCTTCCCTTGGCCTTCCTTACAACCAACATCAACCAACCCAAAAAATGCGTCGTCGGAAAACACACATGTATATATATATATATATATGGTACCCCCCCCAACCCACGCCCCAAGAGAATTGGACGGTATTTGCAGCACTTTCGCGCGATGTCCACCCCCTTTTTAGGCACTCCAATCTTGAGCACTTAACCATGCCCACATTTGCTGACACTTGACTGACTGTATCAACCTGAAACGGTTTAAAGCGCTTTAAAGCACATTTGGATCTAAGATTCAAGATTTAAGATTCCCAGGACTCCAGATCTTGAATCTTGAATCCAGTATGGGACCCCCAAAACGCTTTAAAGCGCTTTACGGCACATTTGGATCTAAGATTCAAAGTCCAAGATTCCCAGAACTCTAGTTCCTGAATCTTGAACCCATGATAAAAGCGCTTCAAAGTGATTTAAAGCGTTTTGGGGGCCCCATACTGGGTTCAAAATTCAAGATATAGAATCCCGGGAATCTTGAATCTTGAATGTTAGATCCAGAAGTGGGTTAAAGCGCTTTAACGCGTTTTGGGGGCTCATACAGGATTCAAGATTCAAGATCAGAGTCTGGGAATCTAGAATTTTAAAGCGCTTTAAAGCGTCAAGAGCGCTTTAAAGCGTCAATTTCGGTCATTCCGTTTTGGGTGTGCACCTTTTTATCATTTTCGACTTGTGGTGTTAAATACAGTTGATATTTCAGCATATGGGCATTGGATATGTTGTTTTATGACTTAAAACTCCACAGCAACCTTTGGATATAGACAAAGCATTGTACATACTAGTGTTTTTGCAGTTTAGCAGGTTTTGTGAAGAACCTTTTTTTTCAGGGACTTTAGTAACTTTGGCAGACAGCGTGGCATTGGTCAGGGCAGAGCAGATGTTTGCGTATTGGCCAAGGTTTGTGAGCTGACAGACGAAGGGGATTTGCAGATGAGTTGAGATGAGAGATGGAGGATGCGTAGCAGATGTTTTGGTATTGCCACAGGTTTGTAAGTTGCGCCATGCGTCGGGACCAAGATCGGTGGATGTGTTCAATTCCATCGTGATTTAAGTCAAACAATTGTGGTTTTGTCTTTGGAAGGAATGGAAATGGACCACGTCCCGATCTTAGTCCCAACATGTGAAAAGCAGCAAGAAGACGAGCCTTTTCATCAGTCATCAAACAACGCCGTTCCGTAGAGTCACCATGATTGCACAGAACTCATGAGATGTGGAACAAGAACGGTACCAACACCCCCCCTTCCCCCTCGAACCGCCCCCCCTCCCTGTAGGGCAATTCGGGCTCAAAGGATACTGATATATTCCCAAGCAGTCAGAATGACAAGGCGCGGAGACTGATGTCTCTTTTGTGCCGCACAGCTATTCTGTGTGAGAATGTGGGTTAAGCCACTTCTCAACGCACAAGCAAAGATATCAAGCTGTGACATTCACATCCAGTATAAAGTATGATACATGGGATTCCTACATTGCTGTAAGGGTATCATGTGCAATTCAAGTAACACCCCCCCCGACACATACCTAAGTTGACTGACGAAGGATTTGCACATCCATCGAAGACGTGTAGGGGAAGCAGAAGAGGTATGGTTTGCCTTTTTGTTTGATACACTTGCGCCGGTACCCTCACAGAGATGGCTTGCAGTCAGATGAGCGAGGGTAACATCAGCGATGAAACCTATGCCAAGACAAAGTTAACCTGGGCACGTGGAGGGAAAGTCACGATTTCTATATGACAGCAGATGTGTTTTCTTGGCTGGCATTGTTGAAAGCTTCAGAGATAGTATGTATGACATATCCTGGACTAGACCTATGTAATATGACACGTTACCTAACTTCGCTTTTACACTGTACCAAGCTTTGCTTATGATGCTAATTGTCCAATAAACATGTTGAAATAGTTTGAGTTTATGATCAGAATATGTATGAAATGGTTCGAAAAAAGATCAAGAGGAGGAACACCACAAACAATGTGTTCAGAACGTAGAAGAGCAAATGCTGTTTACATGGGTGGCAAAGTGCAATCCCTCCGATGAATCTACTTGTTTGCTGTTTGAAGGCTATTTTGGGAGGTGGAATGCAGTTGTTTTATTTGGAATGCCCCATGCGACTTGACCAGCATCAGCCCACCCTAAGCCAGGAATTCCTCTTCAAAATCTAGTTTGGAATAACAATTCCAATTGTTTGTTTTTGGTTGACAATCAAATCCTATTTAAGTTACCTTTAAAGTTGGAGATTTTTTCTAGAATTATTCCTTATTCAATTCCAGTTAATTCTAAATAGAAAGCGGGGAAACAGTACTTCGGGAAAGGATGATCTTGAAACTATATGTTGAAGTAAGAATCCCAATTAGCAATGTTCTTGAAACATGGAAATCCTATTCAAATCATGTTTAAGTTTAGGCATCATATTGCGTGTTGTTCACTTTTAATTTCCATTTCAATTCTCATTGGACAATTGAACAAACCATCCTGGAAAAAACTTCCTTTTGAACCGCTAGTTTGAAACAAACCGCCTTTTAAACAACCTATGGAAATTCTCTTTCAACCTAGAAATTCTAATAGAATTATGTCCTTATTAAGTTCTTTTCAAAATATGCGAACAAATCAACCCGTTTGAGCATCTAGTCCACACAAAAGGATTGATTACACGTCTTGTTCGGCAGGGAAAACCTATTTACATGATCCATAAACTAGAAACTCTACTACGGTTTGTTGCTTATTAAAACCACTCCCAGCTTGAGACACGCCCTGCGTGTTTTATGCTTCGTGTTTGGTCCGGGGAGCGCAGGAGCGAAGCCCCGTTCAAATGTCCAGATTGAAAACATGGGATTTATCCACCCTGTTTTCTGGCTTGGCTGTGGGTCAAAACCAATGGAACCATTTTCGGGTAGGTGCACCACCCATTTTAGTCTATTTTAGTGGGGATTGGGATGTTCATTGGGGGTACGGGATTTTGACCCATGGCCACTTGATTTCCTGACTGTCTCCCTGCTAGGTGCTAAAACATCTGGGAAGTGCGTCCAGTATCATTCCGAAGCAGTCAGTTCACTTTGGCCCATGTTTGAAACGCCATTTGCCGCTGTCAGGACAGCGTGGGTGCCACGCCGCTGATCCTGGCGGTGCAGCACGGGCAAACCAGCGCCTGGTGCCTGGAGTTGTCTGTGAGCCACGCCGATGGTCGGATGGAAGGCGTGGGCTTTGGTGGGTGTGGGTTAAACTTAAAACACTCGAAGACCGCAGGTTTTAGTCCATGGTTCCATTTACTCAGGTTCCATTTTGGGTACCTAGTTTTTACCCACAGCCTGGTTTTCCTGCGGGCGACACACAGCGGCACCAATCGCCGGACTTCAGCAGCTGTAAGTGAATCGTCCCTGAAGCATCGCATTCATCCTGAGCAAGCTCAATATACCAGTGAATTCAGCACACACAACTCTACATCTATCTTGGTTTTGTCAAAATTAACCCGCAGGGGACCGCAGGTTTTAACCGTTGTTTCCATTTACCAGAGCAGCCCATTTAGGGTTCCTATTTTTGTCCCACACAAAAATAAGCATCACACCTGTTTCGGGTTTTCTGGTAAATGCGGCCAAAACACAGAGGGGGTGGCCCTACCCGTTTCGCATCCTGAAACCCAGAAAGTCGTCGGGTGAAGACGCCTAGGTGGGCGTGAAGCGAAACTTGCAGAACCAGGGCCTGAGGCCCAAACGAAACCAAGATATTTGCGTTGATTTAGGAGGTTATATAAGCGTGGTAAGTGTTCACTATCTTAAAGTTGTTTTTGAGCGAGCCTGCTGGGTTCAGGAAAGTGTTGACTGGTAATCCATTTATTGGTATTGTTCCATGTGTTTGCTGTTGTTCACTCTACGCAAACCATGAGGGACTAGCTACTTGCAATTTGGCCAGACAGCCCACTAATCACACAGTTCTCTTTGGAGACCCCCCCACTGCAACACGGGAAAAGCGTTCAAGACCCTTCCAAGAATCTCGTTTAAGAAGGCCCTACGAATCTTTCCTGAAGCATGGGAGGTGCTTTGGCAGTTTTGGTTTAAAACAAATCTGATATAAACCGATAGGATAGCCATGGGTTTTCAGTGACATGGTGCTTCTTGACAGAGACGGATGTCTTCACACGAAAAGGGACCACCTTTTAGTAAAAGCTAAAGGGAAGCCACGGATTCAGGTCCCATTCTCCGACGGATCGGTGTTTCTTTTCTGCGACCCCTGAAATAGATGGCGAAACGGCTTCCTTTCGGTTTCCCTTTCGTGGCGAAACGGGGGAAACGGATAGCCGGGGTCCTCGTCCTCTTTGAGAAGCCCCGCTTGGACCGGTGTCGAGAAGCTAGCCACTGAGGCCATGCTATTGCTGTTCGCGCTCTGCGAGCACAAGGCGGAGGTTTCTGTTTGAGGTTTGGACAAGAATCCCAGTAGTCTATGTGGGGGTTGATTAAAAGGTCCTCCATCTGGGACGACCATTAGGGAAATCACAGAAAAGATGACTTGCACCACATGGGAAAAGTTACCCCTGGTCTTGCTGGGGCCCTAAAATGAAGAAAATGATCAACCCCGTGTTTCGTTGGAGGGGCGGGAACTCGCGGAATGTGCCACCAAAAGCCTGGAGGCTCACTCATTCATTTGACCCGGTGGCGCGCAGTGAAAAAGGCAGGCTGCGGATGAAGCAGATTTAAATGTGTGCACTTGCTACCTTGTTTGGGCCCCCTATGCTGACACATACCCTCATGAACGTGTGTCTATTCCCAAGCACCCGGGGCTTCGATGGCGTATCCTTTTAGTATCCCTGGCAAGAGTTCAACTATATCTTCCATGTGCGTGTTGTTTATGTTTGCTCGTTCGTTTCGAAAGGGAATTTTGCTCAAGCCGGGAAACACATCATTTTTGTGTTTAGAGGCAACCACGCAGATGTTAAGAAGGCCCCATGTTTTGACCGCCACGTTGGCTCCCATTGACAGATGATATATATATATATATTTTGCGGGGCACTGGTGTATTGCAAATGCTTTTTGGTTCTTTCGCTGTTCCAAATTCCGGATATTGTCGCGGCACTGCTGTATTGCAAAAGCTATTTTGTTGGATGGGGGTGCACGCCCCTTTTTTTCATTGAGCTTGTGCCATGTGATCTGCTCGACTTGGGGCTGGGGGCTTGGGACAAGCCACATGTCCTGACATTTGAAGACCATGGAACCCGAACAATCCCATCACTGGAACCCACACGTTTTCTCGGCCCCAAAAAGGAGGAAAGTCTCAAGTGGCCGGAAAACCCCTGGGGAAGGCTTGGGGCGACGGACAGAAAAGCCACCAGAGTGTTGCAACTGAAAGCCCATGACGAAGGCGCCTTATGTTAGAACCCTGATTGGAGCTTGGTGAGATATGTTGAAACCGCGCTTGAGGTAAAGACACACACACACACGGACAGGCGTCCTGTGCAAACTTTTGAAGGGTGCAAAGTTTGGAGTACATCGTTTGGGAAGTTGGGTTCCAAGAGAACGAACAATTTGTACATAGGTGTCCTTTTTGGTTGTTTTCGTCGAAAAATAGATGGCCCTGGTTTACCTGGTGGTTGACTCATCTACCAGGGCCATCTATTACCTATGAGTTTGTATATTTTGCGTAGGTTTTGCCAAAAAGGACAAACCCGTTGGCCCCAACTCTCTGCGGGGGCCCCGGGGATCCCTCTGGATCTTTACTTGCCAGAGGCTCCTGGCTTCGGCTTTCAATGGAAGACCCGAGCCCTCCATTAGACACCCCGGGAATTGGTGGTTGGGGGTCTCAATCCATCGAATTGGAGCCTTTGAGCAACTTTAAAAGGCCTAGAAATCAACGGAGCTCTTTTTTTTTCGAACCGGACTAGGAGTGTTCAAGATTGGACGCTTTTTTTGTTGGGTTGGTTAAACACGCGATCTCTAGCAAATGAAGCGAAGGAATCTCCAAGAAGGCGTCCTTTCCCCCAACAAAAGCATCCCCACCACGAAAGAGAACGTTTTTGAGGGTTTCATGTTAGCTGGCAGGAGCTCTCCTTCTGTTGCCTGATCATTTGATGTACCATCACGATTCCAGGGCTTACTGGGGAATCACAAGGGGCTTCGGGGAAAGAAATCCAAGGGATCCTCAAGGAATGGCTACGGGGGTCATTGCTTATGTTCTCAAAAATTCACTCAAACCCCGTCGTCGAAACAAACTAAAAAACCTCACCCCACATACTTTGTCTTATTTCCGGAAGGAGAAAAACCAAACACAACACAACCTATACCCCTCACCCCACATACCCACTTTCTCATATATTTCCGGCGGAAACGGGGGAACAAAAAAAAACAAAACACGACGCGTCCTTTCCGGGCGGGCGGATTCGATTGGAGGCGCTGCTAGCCGGGGTGGACGTGAAGGGCTGCAGCGCAGTGCACTGGGCTGCCTTCAAGGCATCCGAGCGGCTGCAAATTGGTCGGGATTTTCGGAGTCGACTTCCGAGGCGTTTTTGGTCGAAGCCATTTGGGTATGGGTCAAAATTACACCACAAAACCGCAGGTTTTAGTCGTTGGTTCCATTTACTAGGGTTCCATTTTGGCTACCCATTTTTGACCCGCAGCGGAATTTGACCCACACCCATTTGGTTGAAGCCATTCCTTGGTCTTCCAAGGGCCCGCCAAAACAAGGTCCTTCTTGATTTGGCTCTTGCTTGAAAAAGGAACATCAGCCAAAGGCCTGCTTTTTCCGGGTGGAAGATCAAGCCATTTGACGTCGAGTCAGGCAGCTGATTCGGTCCCATGGACTTTGAGAAGAATGCGTTTGGCACCTACAACATCTAAAAGGAACTACTGAACGCCATTTGGACACTGTGAACTGTGCACTGGATGGAAGGGTCATGCACTGCTGCCTGGGGCCGAACATTGCAATTTGCAATCTTTGGCGGAGAACGTTGCTTCCTTGGAGAAATACTCAGAATCTCACGTAAAACGCCGACTTTTGACCTTTTGGCGTTCTGAACTTTTGGCCCAGTCAGTCATAGCCTCAAAATTGACCTTTTGGTGTTCCGGATTTTTGGTCCAGTCATAAGTCATAGCCCCAACAGGTGATCTTTTTTTCGTCCTGAGTCCTTTGGGCAGCGATTCAAGCCATCCGTTTCATCGCTGAACGGGGAACCGGTCCGTCCGGAGTCCGCGAAACACAAAGCTTCCGAGCGTTGGGTTGGCTTCTCGTTTCGGCCCCGATGTTTTTTCTCCATTGGCTTAAGGACATGGTTTTTTGTTTTCCCTTAAAAAAAAAGGAATCTATCACTACTGGAAATGATTCGGATTTGTTTTTTCCCAGGGGGTGCGTAAGAAAGGGAGCCTTCTCTCAAGTCATCTCATTGTGGCCATGCTAGTGCTGCTGTCGCAGATGCCTGATGTTGGCTGAGCGTGTCCCGGAAAAATGCAGCAGCAGTTGTTCCCTTCCCCGCAGCTTGAGTAGAACTGTGTAGTTTGCAGAATTCGAGTGGACCCCCATCCCGAGGCTTCCCCACAAAACCATGCCTTTTCAATGCTTGGAACGCTTATCTGGAACCCGCAAAGTCCAGAGGAGGCGTGTCGGCAGGCCGTTGGCACACTCGCGTGCTGTGGATGCGCACGGTGTTGGCAGTGCTGACGATGCAGGCGATGCCGGTGTGCCCCAACGCAAGCGTTTGATTTGACGTCCACTGTCCGCTCAGCCTTTTGGCTGCGGGCGTCATTTCGGTGTCCTGTGCTGATGGTAGCGTTGTTAGTAAAGTGCGCCTGCCACTTTGACGCTGTTCCCATCGCTGAATTTTCATGTCAGCTGATGCTAATGATGTTTCAGCGGATGCCGGTGATGCCGGTCACGGTGACCGCCGCACCGCCGCTTGAAAGATCAAGACGCTTTGTGTCGTTTCCGAACTGGTTTGATGATAGAGTTCGGGGATGGGTGGATTTGTGGTTGTGATTCCGTCGCAGGGCGAACTGTCAGCTCTGCAGCCGGGCAGCCCAGCACAGCAAAAGCCGGCGGTCAAAAGGCTGCAGCTTTCAACACAGGCTGGGTTTGACGAAAGCTCCGGAACTCTGTGCTTGCATTGAGCAGGTACAACACAGGACAACAGAACTTGTTTTGGAGTTGTTTCTAAATCAACAAAATGCACAACTACAAAGGTTGGCGCTTCTAGCCTAAACACTTGACACCCGATACTTCCGAACATTTGCACGTGTGCTTGCTTTTCGCTTCTGCCCAAAAGAGGGCAAACCTTCCAAACAAATATCGACTTGTTGTGGAGTTTCCCTTTCGATCAATCCCAGAAAGGCGACCCCCCAACCCCACCCGACAGACATGAAGCATATTCGCGTGAACCTGCTTTCTTGCAGTTGGTGAAGTGCAACACACACACACACACACAAGGCAAGCTGTTGTAGTTGTGTTCGGACTGAAGGTTGACGCAGACCTTTTCTGGGCAAGTTATTCCTCGAGGATCTCCAAGCGGGCAGGCTTGGTAAATTGCACCTGTTGAACCTCTGGCGTTCCAACTTGCGTTCTGAAGTTCCCATCCCACACAATTTGATGCTGCCTCATTGAGTCTAGCTGATCTATGTCCGCTGAATGATTATCCAGAAGAGTCAATCGTGTTTTCCAAGCAAATGTCTGATCAGGCAGGAACACGCTTGTCGCTCAGATGAGATAGTCATGCTGGCTCCTTCCAGCCAGGCGCAAGGCGGCCATCATGATATTTGTGCGTTCGGAAGATTTGGCCCAGGATTGCTAGTGTGCGTTCAATAACCTCCGTACCCTGCCCCTGCCACTCACACAGCACCTGCGGGAGGCTGCCTGAAGATCAATTTCCTTTTGAGGGACCACCTGTCAGGTGCCATGTTACTGGGGCAGGGAGGGTAAGTCATAACAATGTTTCTTAGATCCCTTGGAGCAGTGTGCCGTTTGTCAATCGGATCCATGATCTTCTTGGGCGCCACTTTGGTCTTGTGATGTTTTGGTCCGAGGAGTCAGAGTCCATGGACGAAGGCAAATGTGCCAACCCCCAGACCTTGAGGCATCCTGACATGACGATCCATGGAAGTTGAGGCAACCGCTGGGATAGGAATTACATGTTGGTGTGTTTGTGCCTGTGTGTGTGTGTGTGCGCGTGTTTGGCTGTGGGTCAAAACCAATGGTACCATTTCGGGGCAGGTGCACCACCCATTTTAGTCTACTTTAGTGGGGGATTGGGATGTTCACTGGGGGTCCAGGATTTTGACCCATGGCCGTTTGGGGCTTGTGCTTGTTTAGTGTCTGCTTGTTTGTTGTTTAGCAAGAGTTTCTCGGTGATGAACACCAAACAGCGGCTTTCTATTTTGCGGAAAAGCAAAACTTCAAACGTGACCTCGTTGATTGTTTGCCC